ATCTATCATAATTATAAACCTGTGTTTCCATCGCCTAAGGAAGGTTGTATAAACTCTAAAACGGCACGGTCCACACACTTAGAGACATGCACGGATATTGATAAGACCGAGAACAGGATTAGTGGTTATCTTTACAGAAACATACATAAAATGAACCGAGTTCGTGCACGCGCTATTTCGCTGGTACGATTTCACCATCGATTTCAATCTAAAATAAAAAGAAAATTATGCAGGTCCATATTAATACTACAATATTTTCTGGCAGATTGGCATGGGAGTGTAATTGCAGTCGGTATAGCAGGCCTCCGCCTAATAGAATGTGTAATATAGCTCGCCTCCAGGTTCATTTCTCACAGGCTGCTAACTGTCTTGTACAGTAACAGACGCAATACCATTTCTGATTTAGACACGTGACAATGCAAAAGTGTATTAATACGTCAGCGAGAGAAGCCACCACATCACAAGTGTAACGAATCTTACAGTTATATTGTTGGTATGACCGAAGGTTGATTTCGAACCATAACCCTCAAGTAATGACCATTGCAAATACCTGATAATAATTCTTTTTAACTGGCAAGGTGCGGAAATTCGTTATTCCATTTACACCCGATCCCTTCCTAATTCTTGATGGCTATAGTTCCTAACGCTTATTTAATGAAAAGATCTAGGATTGAACTAGTTTTTAACAAAAATATTGTGTATGCGTATCTGTGACCTTCATTTTATGACACGGAATATTTGCCTATTCACATGAAATGTCCGCCTGTAACAAGAATATGTTTACCTGCTGGCAATACCTTGCAGGCTTTTTGGACTTTTAGATAAACGCAGTACTTGCCTGACATTTCCAAAACTAACATCCGTATTGTAAATTTTGGATGTCAGTTTCATTCCTGAGATGTACGAACGTAATTTATCACAAAGGTATGCATGAAACGGCTTTGATATAGAAAATGATGTTTACATAGAATAGTAAAACAGGTTTAACTGAACGACAAAGAGCGCTAAAATGTTAACAGTAGGAGGGCTTCGATGATTATTATTTCGTTAATGCACTTAAGATTTCCTGAAACTGTATACCAGTATGAGGCAGCAGACATTTGATAATGTCTACATGTACATAAACTAGAGCTTACTGACAATCTGTGGGTCAGAGTATGATGTCTAGATAATTTTGACAAAATGTTATGGAAATATTTTTTAGCACAGATATAAAAACAAAACAAAACGTTGGTCCAAAAACGAATGAATAACCTAAATTTCGAAAATACCACTCTCGAATATAAATTAACATATTTCACACTGAAAACAAACGCACGTTTTATAAGTGTTGGTTTTATTAAGGTATTAAGAGAAAACACCAAGAGAATACCGAAGTGTCAACAAAACCTTAGAATCCACAGAACTACGGCAAAGTACAAACAAAGGTGAGAATTACATGGATACCTTGAAAAAATATGACAGATATTTCTTTAAGGTCTACGATGGCGACCATCAAATGTTCCTACGTCGACCTAAATCTCCGATAAACCTGTGTTATACGTTAATTCGTAAGCATTCGATATTTATCACGGAAATCATGATGTTCGGAGTAAACTATAGTCAAATGCGTCAAGGAAAAATGTTAGGTTGCTTGCACTTCAGTTCGACTACCAGACGGCGCCTCCATCTTTTCTGCCAAAGCATACGCCATTGGATTGGCCCTCGACCATATCGATGAACACCGCATTAAAAAGGCAATAACTTGTTCAGACTCTCTACATGTATCTGTCCTACAGAGTTAACAGTTACGAGATCCAAAAACACACTCGTACAAAACCTTGCTCTTCGAATATCTCGTATCTTAAAAAAGTCTAAAATAGCTTTACTATGGATCCCGAGTCATGTCGGAATTAAAGGCAACGAATTGGTGGACAGGGGAACAAAAAATGCATCTTGAGACCAGCAACAAACTTTTTAAAGTACAACCGAAACTTAAAACATCTATTCCAAGTCGAAAAAATCGTAGAGAGGAAGTTGTCCTCGCTCGGCTCCGTACTGGGCACACATATCCTACTCATTCGTATCTTTTAAAACGAGAAGATCCAGCGTCATGCCACGCATGTGACACTCCATTTACAGTGGAACATTTTTTAATAGAATGTTCCGATTTTAAACACGTTCGCGATAACTACTTTCGAGTCCCGGATATGAAAACTCTTTTCAGTTCCGTGGACTCGAAAGCATTAGTTAACTATTTGAAAGACATCAGTCTATTATATAGACTCTGATGTCTTTTGACCCACCTTACCCTTTTTGACGTTATATATATCACATAGTCCATATCATCTATAAACAAATAAACAAACAATAGGTTGTCGACTTAGAGAAGTTACTATCAAGGAAGTGAAAGTTAACGATAGAAAAACCGTCACACTTTTCGTTCAGTTAAGTAGTAAGCTGTCCTTGATGAGCACGTTCCGATTAAAAATCCAGAAACGCGGCTGATATAGAAAGTCAATGGTGTCAATGATTTCAAATTTTGAAGGGTATTTACAACCGACTTGATGGAGAAATTTCTTGTTGTCTAAAAGAGTACATCGCCTATATATCTTTTTGTGACTCTGAAGGATTGTGCATAATGAAATGATCTAGTGAGAGAGATATTCTATTCTTTCATTAGTTTCAATGAAAGTATGACATCTATACCTTTCTGTTAGACCACGGCATAATAACTGGTACAACATAATCATCACTTGAATGTATCTCAGGTAATTATCATAACTCAATATATATTTATAGAAATTTCGTATAGACGAAATAAATATTAACATTTTCATTTCTGTTCCCATTAAAACATCAATACATCAATACAGGGAAGAAAAGTTAAGAGGAGGTTTTCAATATAGATAAAAACGCTGAATCTTATCCGGAAATCTCAATTGAAAGTAGCCGCTACATGTAACACAATTAAATTTTATATTTTTGAATGTAGACGTAGACAACGGTCCGTGTAAATAGCCTTGTAGCCGAGAAATAGACACACCATAACATAAAGAGAGCTTTACCTGTATATTATTTACCTGTTTACTGTACCTGTCTATTGTTTACCTGTTTACTGTACCTGTCTATTGTTTAAGACTTTAAACATTTGTCTGAACGTTACTTATCCCTTTTCGTTTCAATAAAGACAATTCTAAGTTCGGTTTATACAATAAATATGGCGTCGACGGTCGAGTTAGTGCTTTAAGTTCTAGGTGTTTTAAATGAATATATTTAATCTTTAGTTCTAAATTCTTTCAAACTTGTAATCAATATTTTCCAGTTTTTACGGATATTATACTGCAATGGTCAGAATATATACTTTTTAGAAGACCAAACTATAATGGTCTGAGTTAGTACTTTTTCAGTATATATCGAGGCTATATCGCAATGATTGGAGTAAATAGTATTACAGTATATATAAAGATCATAGGATTCCTTTGTGAAAACGGCCTGTAAGCAAATTTCATCAAAGGGACTATTGGAAAATTTAAACTGATGTAGGTACGAGAAAATAACAGGTATTACTTTTTTGTGAAGCAGATCAGTTCACATAAGAATGGAAACAGTATGAAAATAACTGCTTACCAAGCGAGCGTATCATTATATACACGCGTTTAATAATTGTGTATATCATAGCATAAGAACATGTGGTTCTCGCCAGTAATGATTACAGTGTGGTCCAATATTATTTGCACTGCATTCCCACAAAGATTTCCGTTGGGGTGCACATACTTAAATCGATATACAAGTAATAACGACTGTACGGGCAATGAAATTTGTCAACTTTTCGAGTCAATCCGCCCCTTTATCGAGATGAAAACATTAGATAATGACCAAGGATAAGATACCAGATAACAAATATGATTAATGTTCTTTTTAATCTGGAACATTCATATGGCAACTTGTTGAAATTAGTATCTTGTAGGCAATCAAACGTCATTTTCAAATATATCATTTTTATAGACTCTCATCCTCGCATATTGATTTATTTTTTGGGACTATCTTGTCGGGCATTTAAAAGTGAGCGAATGTCCTGGAAACTACGTCAAACCTCACTTGAAAACCTCACCAAACCAAAGCTCAGCATCTTTGGCATTCCTTACTTTCGCCCTAAAACTAACTCACTTAATCTTTTGAGAAATTTACCCTGTATTTCCTTTGTGTACTTAGACATGCCCTTAACATAAACTCTATTGTAGCGTTCGAGGAATATGTTTTTTTTTTTTTTAACCCCCACCCCCGCCACCGCCCCTTATTTTATGTAAAGGTATGTTTACGATAAATATTTTTTTACCTCCAATGTCCACAAGAGTATGCAACGGTTATTTTGATTTCTAAAATAACGAGTCTTTTACATGTACTCATATTGATCAATTTTAGTCATATTGATGTTAACATTGCAATAAAAAGCAAATCCTTTTCCGTGTAGGCCTACAAATATACCCTCGGACAAACGTTGTGTAAGACTACATGAGGCTAGGAATAGACGGTAGCGTGAGGTTATAATCAGGTTAGCAACGTCCATAAAAATCTTTATATAACTATTAATGAAAAATTAAAAAAAATGTTGTCAGAACAAAACTAATCCCCGGAGGAGAAAGGTTTGTAGCGTCGCTCTCTCCTGATTACTGATACAGCTACTAACATTGAAGCACGTGTGCTCTACCGGGATTACGAACATGTATTCGCAGTGAATGGGAGATCGTTGTCTCCGTACGACATCGTTACACACACCCAGGGAGCCAGCATTACAGTGTATAAAATTAAATGATGATATTAATAACGCCAATATACAATAAACTCAGCCGGATTCGTAAGGATCTATTGAAGTTTTGTTCAAAATATTCCATCATTAAACGATTTCTATGGAAACAACGAGCACTATTGATGTTGCTTGATGCTGTAAGTAGAAGAGGTATTTGTAACAGTATTTGTAAAGAACTAACGTCCTGAAGGTAAACATGGGTACCACTTACCTCACTGCACACAGAATCAAGTACCAAGATCGTTATCGCAATCCATAAACAAATGACCAGGGTGGTTTGATACTAGTGTAACGTCCTCCAGCTGTACAGAGACACCTATTCTCTCAAGCATTGTCAAACAACAGCGCAGATTTTAATGAAAGCGAAGCAAGTGAGTTGCATTCTTAAATACCCGTACAGTACACTCCCGCCAATCCGCCGTCGCTGTATACCCGAGCTAAGCCACAGCAGCTTGTCAATCAGGCATCGATCTTCAAGCCAATTAATTTGAGCTCGGTAAAACACTACTAAGCAATACGATCGTTAAACGATTGTGAGAGGTTGTCATCGCTGTCGTTGTATCACGCGCCAGCCCGTTGTTCCCGCGCGCTGCCGTTATATCATGTTTAATTACTCAGTGCTACCAAATGACCGGTCCTGTTCTGTTCCAATAGGCCGGCGTATCGGTTATTACGTATTATACATATCACAGTCATACATCCTGAATACAGAATTGTTCCCGACGACGTATCTACTATATTGACAGACCGCGTGCGAATGTGCTCCTGCTGCTGGCAATGGGCACGTGCCACTGGTTATACGACTCGATATTGGTGTTGGCGTGAGAAATCAAAGGCGAAATATATTTATTTTATTGTTGATCTACCGTAGGCTTGCACATAGTGAATATACTGGTAACAGCCCTCAAAAAAAGCAGTTGTCTTACCTCAATATATTTAGTTCTCATACAGCTGTTGCATTATGGAGCAAGTAGGCCGATGTGATTCCGCATTATACAAAGCGCGTTTTAATAGGACTTAGAGCGATTTCACCATGTCGAAGATAGGATGTATACATAAGTGATGTTGGATTATAGGATTTTTGCTGTTGTGTGATCAAACTTTAATCGCTATCAATTCATCATATTTTCTTTCATTATATCCGGTGGCTAACGAAACAAAAGACCGTATGGACCTGTATTGCTAATTTTCTGTTCATTTGAATACGCAAGATACAATTAGTCTACACCGAATGGATCTTTGTTGGAATATTTTATTTCTAATAAATCATTGTTTGAAGGTCTAGACTTACCTTACACATGCAATCAATCAAAGATGGTTTAGATTAGCGTTCGGACTCGAACTAACTTTGTGTCCATCACACCAACAAGTTACATGTCAAATGGCATTCCCATATATAGGAGTCGAAGTAATTCAGAATAACAAGTCATTGTATGGTCTTACTTTGACTGATGTTGCCTTATATGCAACAGGCCCAATAAGCCTTTTCGTTGTTAAGAAGAAATCGTTTAAGAATTTTAAGACAATTTACCTATGTGACCTTGTCAAATGGTCAAGAAAATACACTTAACATATTAATAATAATAACAAGCTATACCCGCAAGCACACAGGCAAATATCATAATCTTAGGCCTCTTGGTCATTCAGAAGAAGTCGCTTAAGCGAGTTCATATATTTGATATAGTGACATTAAAAGTTGGTCAAGTTGGTCCATCTGGATTTAGTTGTTAGGGTGTAACACCAACATGCTACATAACCATACGTCGCATACTTATTGCTAACAAGATGTTGAACGTTTTAAACGCATGTGACTGCTTTGACCTTGAATTGGGTCAGTGCTATTCATTTGGCACTTTATTTCAGCATGCTGCAGGCCAAATCCCCCCATGCCTCTTGATTGTAGAGAAAACGTTGTCGTCATAGTTTAGTGCGGCTAATGCAGAAGAGTCTACGATCGACATGTTCAATAAGTTTCTTTATAATTAAAGTCAGCACACCGTCGAGATATCTTAATGTGAAACTGAATGACAAAATAAGGCTTTTGATACCAGCCCTGATAAGCCCTTCATTAAATTCGGCCTCATATGAAAACAACAAAAACAAGAGAGCTAGAGGAGGAGCAGACTTGATTCCCATAGGAATTCCTACAGTCTGCTGGGGAAATCTTCTCAACCCCAAACAAAGATGTTGTCAACGAGGAGCTCTATCTTCCTCATGAGTTCATCGACAAAAAAACATCTCCTCTCGGCCTGTCATGTAATACTCAAGCTAGTCATTACTATCACTGTTCGCCTCTTTTGGAAAGGAAAACTCTTGTTAAAAAGGAATAACAAAAACAACTACTAATTCTACGGTCGCTTTATTTAAATCTGCGAGTTTAAATGCAGTTACCAGTAATGAAACTATCGCTCCCGTGTGATTGGTTTGTATATATAGTGGGACCTTACAGTTACCTTATATCATCACCAAGGAAGATATTAAGAGGATGTCAAACATGTTCTGTTACACATCTTATGTATTTAAGCGAACTTGAGCAAGTTCTATAAATATCTGATGTTATAGGAATGAGTTTGAGATTCTGTTTATCATTTCAATAAACAAAAATATTTTAAAATCCCCATTTGGCGAAAAAAAGTCATGTTCACTGCAGTAGCGATATTTGGCCTTGCTAAACTGATGATTTATCGATCCATTCCGTTTATATTAAAATAAACATTTTAAATGAATATCTTATTATATTGTTAAATTTTGAATAAAAGTATTCTTAAAGTTGTAAACATCAGAGTTGATCTGAATTGACATTGGAATTGCAACACAAGCACGCATCTCACCAATTGTCTTTCTAGTTGTCATCCATATCGGCTATACTATCCAAATTCACGTGAAGGTAGTTCAACGGAATGCATACAACGGTGTTTGTTTTACTAGGGAAATAGTTTAAGCTGCTGCTTTTACCTGGAGTACTGAGGCAAAAAACATTCTGTATTAATACATGATGTCTTACGTTGAGTTCTGTATTTAGACAGGTATTTATAACTTACTGCAGCTCTTACATTGAGTTATGTACTTAATAATGTATTTAATTAAGATTCTGAACTGTATTTTGTTGACGATGTCTTACCTTGAGCTCTGTGTTTAGATATGTTTATTGGAAATATTGAGCTATATTTTGTTGACGATGTCTTACCTTGAGATCTGTGTTTAGATATGTTTACTAGAGATACTGAGCTATATTTTGTTGACGATGTCTTACCTTGAGCTCTGTGTTTAGATATGTTTACTAGAGATACTGAGCAATGTTTTGTTGACGATGTCTTACCTTGGGCTTTGTGTTTATATATGTTTACTAGAGATACTGAGCTATGTTTTGTTGACGATGTCTTACCTTGCGCTTTGTGTTTAGATATGTTTACTAGAGATACTGAGCAATGTTTTGTTGACGATGTCTTACCTTGAGCTCTGTGTTTAGATATGTTTACTGGAAATACTGAGCAATATTTTGTTGACGATGACTTGCCTTGAGCCCTGTGTTAAGATATGTTTACTAGAAATACTGAGCAATATTTTGTTGACGATGTCTTACCTTGCGCTTTGTGTTTACATATGTTTACTAGAAATACTGGGCAATATTTTGTTGACGATGACTTGCCTTGAGCCCTGTGTTTAGATATGTTTACTAGAAATACTGAGCTATATTCTGTTGACGATGTCTTACCTTGCGCTTTGTGTTTAGATATGTTTACTAGAGATACTGAGCTATGTTTTGTTGACGATGTCTTACCTTGAGCTCTGTGTTTACATATGTTTACTAGGGATACTGAGCTATGTTTTGTTAACGATGTCTTACCTTGAGCTCTGTGTTTAGATATGTTTACAAGAAATACTGGACTATATTCTGTTGACGATGTCTTACCTTGAGCCCTGTGTTTAGATATGTTTACTAGAGATACTGGGCTATATTTTGTTGACGATGTCTTACCTTGAGCTCTGTGTTTACATATGTTTACTAGGGATACTGAGCTATATTTTGTTGACGATGTCTTACCTTGAGCTCTGTGTTTAGATATGTTTACAAGAAATACTGGACTATGTTCTGTTGACGATGTCTTACCTTGAGCCCTGTGTTTAGATATGTTTACTAGAGATACTGAGCTATATTTTGTTGACGATGTCTTACCTTGAGCTCTGTGTTTAGACATGTATTTACAACTACCTCTATTTACGGTATCCACTGAGTAATCTACTGTTTATTACATAAGAACTAACACAGATCGATACTCAATTTCCTCAACGTTGCCACATCCTCCACGTTTCACGTGTTCCGCCTTGATTCATGTGAAATCAATGTCGGACTGTAGTGCTACCTTGACTTATTTCTTTATATTATAACATATCAATCAGCAGCAGTATAGAATATTATTCATTGAATCACTGGCATCACGCGTTCTTCCTTCTAACCCTCTTATATGTAGAACAATTACATGAATGAACATGCTCAGCGCAGGGTTCCGCTGTAAAGCGTGGCCAATAGACTCGGTTATGTGGTGAGTTTGGAATAACGGTTTCAAATGTAGTAACAAAAATCCATTGTCAATGATACATCTTTATTCAAGTGTTTTGAATGATGAAATAAAGATTTTCACATTGATTTAACATTCCTTCACTTGATCTCTAAATTGTAAAAGAGTACTAATTCAAAATGACTAATTTGAGGATCTTCAGACATTTGTTCAAAACAATCCGCTTCCTTTACTTTATATTGTTAACTCCATACAACGATTATAATATACAAATAAGATCAACAACAAAATGGCTTCTGTGTTTGGAAATAGTAAAGGATGGGTGCCATCTTCGGCGGTTAACGTCTCTTCACCGATAATATTTATTTTTGCACCTTTGAGTCAGAACTACATATACAATGTATTTGGGAGAAAAAAGTCATTTGACCACTCCGGAGATATTTGGAGGTCGAAGTGAGGGGGGGAAATGACAAGTTCACGATTTGAGGCCCGCGGCGTTTTATTCTTTGAGAAATGGGTCAATAACAAAAAACTTTAAAATTAGATCATAGTGACCAATAAAGTTGAATGTTGCTATATTTACCTTTTATTAACTTAAACATTTCTAAATTTCTGACCCTTAACATAATAAATACTCCACGAGCATTGAATAAAAAGGTGTGCTTAGTAGTTGTATTGAATGTGTGGAGACTGTCAAAGGTGTGCTTAGTAGTTGTATTGGATGTGTAGAGACTATCAAAGGTGTGCTAAGTAGTTGTATTGGATGTGTAGAGACTGTCAAAGGTGTGCTTAGTAGTTGTATTGGATGTGTAGAGACT